AAAACTTTTGACTCTTGGTAGGATTGTGTATACAAAAAGTAGGGAAGTAGGGACTTCCCTGGTGGTCCACTGGTTAAGACTCCATGCTTCCAACGCAGAGGGTGTGTGTTTGATCCCTGGTTTGGGAACTAGATCCCATATGCCAAGCAGCACAGTCAAAAATAAATAAAGTCAAGATTTAATCAATTAAAAAAAAGAAAGAAGTGTAGAAAATAGGGAAGTGTATATCCTCAGTAGAGATGTTAATGCAGATATGACAATGAAAGGTAATAAAAGCAAAAGTGGCTTTAAAAGCAACCAGCTAGACACCAGATAGAACTGGTTGGGTATCACCATTTGGTGACCACTCTGGATGTCACGGTTCTAGCCATTGAACCAGGGCATGTCCCAACATGCTGAAATTCTGTGGTTGTTATTTCTACTAACCTACATGTGTGCACCAATTGAGTGAGGTTTACAAATGCATAAAGCCTTAGATCTTTATAGTAGCCTGTTACGTTGGCACTGGTTACCCTTATTTTACAGATGAGGAAATTATATTTTTTGACCACTTATCCCAAGGAATCAAGTTAAACAAAGCACAGTTGAGCTGGAGACAAAGGGAGAAAACAGTGTTTAAGGAAAGTGCTTGAAACGTCCTTTATTACGTGTCCTGCTTGGGAACCGTCTTCCTTCTGCCATGATTGGCTCTCTGTGGCATGGTTTATCACCACTGGCAGAGACGGGGGGTGTTCACCAAACATGCTCTCCTGTTCTCCCAAATTCCCTAGCTCCCTTGTGAATACAGAGAGTATGCCTTATTCTGGTCAAAGGGCTGCTGCCAGGCGAAAGCACTGAAGCTCCTTTGTATGGCTACCCATGGCTCACTTCCTTTGCTCATCAAGCCCTCTGTTAAAATGTAGGAGCCACAAGATCAATGCAGCCTGGGCCACTGAGTCCCATGGAATGTGGACAGCTGTCCTACGAGTCTCCCAGAAGCTCACTGTGTTTTGTGAGAAAGCAAGAAAGTGACACTGTTAAGCTAGTGGGCTTTGGGGGTTGTTCGTTACAGCAGCACAAGCTTGTGCTGCCCTTGCTCACACAGCTCTCTAAGCTTTGGTTTTGACAGCTTCTCCCCTCTTCCCAGGGCCAGAAGTGGAGGCTCCTCTTCCTCCGCCCTCTACCTGATTGACTTTCGCCCAGGGATGACTGACTTTTCACGAAGCCGTTTGTGATCTTTGTATTAGGAACGCAGTATGAAAATGAACTGTATTGTTTGTGTAGATGTCACCATTGACTCCTCCTTGCTGAAACTGACTGTGGCGAGTGGTCGGAGTTTCCACCTGAGGGTAATTCATATTTATTTGAGCTGCCACCGACTCCTTATTTCGTTTGCATAAACTACCCAGGACAGAAGAGGAATCTCCCTGGACCCTGTTTATCTTGTGGAAGTGGAGCTTACTCCAGAGGGTGGATCACTCCTCACATGGACCTCCCTCCATCCCTTTTAGCGATGAATAATCATCAGTCATCAGGAGAGGGGATTAAAAAATAGATTTATTGCTATTTCTAAAAGTCAGGACTAGAGGATGAGTAAACACAACAGATGTATAAGAACGTAAGTAGAAACACTATTTTACAATAACATGTACTGAAACACATTTATGTCCTGGAAACGATGACAAATAGCTCTCTTTAAATGATTTAACATTTGCTCTTCCTTATATACAGTTGAGCTTCCAGTGGGAGGACAAAGATGCTCACAGCTCTCTTGGTTTTTTTGAGAGACTCTCTGAAAATCTTCTGGGACGTCCCATAAAGCCAGTGTATGGTTTAGCAGGACTCGGGGTGGTTCTTGGCACACACGTACATGTATGTTGTCCTGCTTCCCCATCTCCCCCATACATGTGGGATGACCACTGGAATGCAAGAGATCTCATGGCCAGAGTCAAAGGAGAAGGTCATCTGGAACAAAGTCTGTTAATGATGCTTCCTTCTGGAGACAAAGGAGGGTGTGCCTTCTCTTCAAGAGCCGGCCCTGGGTGCCTGGGACTGTGCTCCTGTGAGAACTCCACGTTCAAGGCCACTCTGTGTAGCTTGTTTCTGCAGATGGCGGCAGATGGCAAAGCATTCATTGGAGGAAAGCTGATGTCATGGCTTTGGCCCTTTACAGAGGCCTCGTAATGTGGGCGGTGTGGTTGACTGGATTGATCATATGGAAAAGGGTTCTAAGAAGATGTGCCGATCTAGACACCTAGACATACTTCATAGTCCTTGAAAGTGGGTAATGTAGCACCTTTTTAAAAAAAAACTTATGCATTATTTACTTTTGGTTGCGCTGGGTCTGCGTTGCTGCCTGTGGGCTTTTTCTCTAGTTGTGGCCTGCGGGGGCTACTCTTTGTTGCATTGCATGGGCTTCTTGTTGAGGTGGCTTCTCATTGTGGCGGCTTCTCTTGTTGTGGAGCATGGGCTCTAGGTGTGTGGGCTTCCGTAGCTACAGCACACAGGCTCAACAGTTGAGGCGCACAGGCCTTATTGCCCTGCAGCATATGGGATCTTCCCAGACCAGGGATCAAACCCGTGTCCCCCTACACTGGCAGGCAGATTCCTATCTACTGTATCACAGGGAAGTCCTGTACTGTCTTAAGTAATGGATTGTTGGAAGGGTTTTGCCTTGGGGTTTCTGAGGACCTTGAAGACCAGCGGGGTGTGAAGCTGGCAGAGTGAACCTCTGCAATGATGTGGCCCAGGTTGGTGACAGCTACACATTGTCACAGCAGCACAGATATGAAAAACCAGCTGACCAGTCCAGTTTGGTCCACACACTGGGGATGAGTATCTTTTCCTAGAATTGACTTCTTAAAGTCACCAACTGTTTGTTTTGTTGTCTGGGTGACTGTAGGTTTTAAAAATTTGGTCCAGGAAGTTTCCTGGAGGTCTGGTGGTTAGGACTCACCACTTTCACTGCTGTGGCCTGGGTTGAATCCCTGATGGGGGCAACTAAGATCCCATAAGCCACACAGCATGGCCAAAAAATAAAACAAAACAAAATAAAATAAAATTTGGTTCAACCCAGTGATTGGGGAGTGGTAAGAGAACAGCGTGTTTGGAATGGAGAATGGAGTTGAGGGCCCAGATCTCAGATACCTTTGATACAAACAGATCTCTTCTGGGCATAGCTTGGATGCTGGAGATATGGTTTTTAAAAAACATTTTTATTGGAGTATTGTTGCTTTACAATGTTGTGTTACTTTCTGCTGTACTGCAAAGTGAATCCGCCACACATCTACATACATCCCTGCTTTTTTTGGATTTCCCTCTGGTTTAGGTCACCTCAGAGCACTGACTAGAGTTCCTTGTGCTATACAATATGTTCTCAGGTGGATCTAGAGATTGTCATGCAGAGTGAGCTAAGTCAGAAAAACAAATACTGCATATTAACACATATATGTGGAATCTAGAAAAATGGTACAGGTGAACCTATTTGCAAAGCAGAAATAGCGACATAGACGTAGAGAACAAATGTATGGACCCAAGGGGGAAGGGGAGGGTGGGGTGAATTGGAAGGTTGGGGTTCACAAACATACACTCCTATGTATGAAATGGGTAACTGATGGAGGTATGTTTTTTACGGCTCTCCCCCTCCGATTCTTGTGTAACTAACCTGGCTTTCTTTCCTTAAGAAAGTAATCTGAATGAAATTTACATGTGATCACAAAATTCCACTCAGAAAAATAAGGCCAGAATTTGCAATATTTAGAAATGAGAGGCAGACTATGTGGCTTGTCATCTTTGTTTTGTGTGCCCCAGATCACAAGCATGTGTATGTGTGTGTGTGTGTGTGTGTGTGCATGTGCATGGGTGTGATGCCTCTGTGTCATTGCCAGATTTGGAAATCTGTGACAGAAAAATAAGATCACATAGGTGTGTTCTCATTCTACATATGTCACATCTCTGGTTTCAGGATTATTGAATTGGCTCCCATCTTTTTCTCTTCTGCAGGGGCACTGAGCAACCTTCATACTAATGCAATATTAAGGACCGCATAATTAGCCACCTTAATAAATTTTTTCCAAGATGGATAGGTGGTGTTTGGCTTTCTTCAGAAGAAAACCTTCCTCTAATAGTATTCTGCGGGAATCTATGGCAAGAACAATGAACAGAAATATCTGGAAATATATTAAGATATATGTGCATATATTGGACATTAGCACCATACACTAAGCATATTGGGAATATGCTTCAAAATATTTCAAACATTGTTGACCTTTGTTATATAATCCCAGGCTTGGGGAAACATATTTGCATAGACTTAGCAATATATTGTAAATAACTATGTAGGACACTGTGTATTTTTCCTTAAGATGCAGTATTATAAGCAAGACATTAAATTATGCCTATCAGACAAAGCAGCCGGATCTCTACATTTTTTTATAGCACATTCTATTGGGAAGACATCCCTGCTTCTAAAAAGCACATGCATTAACTGTCTGATTCATGTGGTGACATGTGGCATATCCAAATGCGTTATGGATCTCTCAGGAATAAAAACAACATAGCAAAACCATCACCTTGGGATGTTCATTGAGTGAATATTTTACAGACACACTCCTTTTATATTTATATAATAATTTAGTGTTATGACAATTTTTTTAGCCGAGTTGGCAGTTTTTCTTTTTTATAATGGTATTATATTTGTGAGCCTATTAAGTGCATATGGGATAAACTACAGAAAAAAGTATTTTTCATAATTCCTCAGGGTGCTTGTAGCAAAAAAAAAATAGCATATTGGTTTAGAAAAATGTTAATAAAAGGTCAAGCAGAACTTTCCAGTGCTTAGCATGACAGCAGTGGCAATTTTGAGGCCTTTTTTGAATTGTATATCGAGGAGACGTGGGGATTTATGGGGATTCCAAGAGGAAAACGGCACCTAACGTCCTTTCTGGAAGAGAGACTGACCCTTTGCCAGGGCTGGTGAATTTTTAAACAAAGAATCGAAACAGCGTGTTGCTTTCCCCTCTTCATCCTTGTCTCCTCAGCCATGAGGCCAGGCTGGTCTCTGGCTTGGCCTGGGTCCCCAGGAGCAGCATAAGGCTGCTGACATCGGGGCCGATGCTCTGGCACCTATCCAGCTGAGCATCTTTCCAGGAGCTGGGGAGCCAATGCTGAAAATTGGGGTTCTTCTCCCTTCTTCTGTCCTTTGAGATAGAACAGCACAGCCACCCCTCCAAAGCAGAGGGACAAGGCGGGTGCATCCGGAGGGCTGGGGCCGTGCCCACCCGCAGAGCAGGAGTGCCGGTGGGCCAGCCGGTGGGCCAGCCGAAGGCCCACGTGGGTCTCCCGCCTGCTCTCGCCCGACTCGTCCTGTTCCTCCTGCGACCGGCACATCAGGTAAGAAAATGGAAAAATGCTGCATTTCTTAATCTCTTTCTCTCTTTCCTTTCAAAGAACTTATAAAGGCACAAAAATAGAGCGTGGTTATTTGGGGATTTTTGTTTAGTGGTTGCCTGCATTTTAGCATGTTTCAGGCAAACCTATCCACTGTGATTCTGACCAGCCTCAAATTACACTTCCTCAAAATAGACATGTTCTCTGTGGAGAAGTGGACAGGGAGCGACTGCCTTGGAACAGATCCAACCTGGGTCCCCAGCGGTGGAGGCCCAGGCACCCAAGCGCCTGGACTGGCAGGATGCACCCTCCCTCACTGTTCGGCAGTGGCTCTTGTGAGAAAGGTGGGGAAAAGTCACAGGATCCATCGGAGATGAATGGGTGATTTTTCTCAGGATCTGCCCGATAGTTTGGTGTGTCTCATCAGCTCTTACATCCCGTCGGCGCTGCACTTAATGCGTCATTTCACAAATGACAGCGGAATACTCACCAGAGCCCAACCTGGCTCCTTCCCGTGGGAAGAGGGGGCTTGTTGGCTGGCACTGACTGGTCTAGTGGGCGAGTCCCCCAGGGCTGGGAGTTGGGCTTCCAGTTGAATTGTGGCATCTTAAGTAGGGAACCGCTCACATGCAGCTGTCAGATCTGTTTTCCACCTGTGATGTCCGCTCCTGGATGCCCAGGTACCTCTTTACACGTGCCAAGCTTTCAGCCGGGTGCCAGGGACACCAGGGTTGGTGAGGTACTCTGCCCTTGTCCTTGTGGGTTCAGAGACACATCCCCATGAACGCTCAATTACAGCCGTGGTGCGCACAACCAGGACAAAGCCTTGGGCACTGTGAGTGTGACATGTCAGGGCTGGGGTTATGCGGAGTCGCAGAGGTGCGGTCATCTTTATTTTAAAATTTGAGATTTTGCTCACATCGATTTTCCCCATTAATTTAGATGTTTAAAAGTATTGCACTTATGCCAATTGTTGAGTGTTTGGCCCTGTTCCTGTGAAGCAGGGTGACTAGACCAGGTCTGGGGTTGGTGGAGGAGATTCCCCCCAGGAAGTCGGGTTGGCCTACAACCAGATGCATGGCTACTGGATGACCAGGAAGAACGTCCCAGAGAGAGGGACACGCACGCTCTGTTGTAGATGGAAGAGGGCTTGGTGTGCTCAGTGTGAGGCAGAACAGAGCTGAGCAAGGGGCTCTTGTTCAGAGCCCACCCCCGGCCCCAGACATTCAGGGCAGTCACCTCCCAGCAAAATGCCCTGTGACCTCCATCCGTGGCTTCCCGTGAGTAGCACGCTGCCCCTCGTGTCCCTCACCGCTGGCTTGGTTTTCAGAGGCGTGAGTAAGATGTGCCAAACTGTAGGCATGGCCTTGCACAAAATGAGATCTTCCCTGTGGTTCTCATGCTCTTCCCCAAGGGGCAGCGTGGAGGGGCCCAGCCAGCTCCTATGGGCCACGAGCCATGCCCAGGTCAGGGAGTCCAATGAATCGTGTTCCTCCAAGGCCACTTTTTGACCCAAAACACTGCTCCAGAAAGGCCCTGACTGCCCAGCCTGGATGGGCCACTGCTGCCTGTTCAGTTCTGCTGGGCTCTGTGGGGCCCCACAGCATGGGGCAATGCCCCGTGGGCCGCCTCCTCCAGGGTTCCCTTCTTGCATGGGTCTTCTTCCTCCAGGCTCACTGTGAGCTCCCTGGGCTGGAACCGTCTCTTTCCCTCTTCTGAAGATCTCAGGCCTGAGGAGGGCTGGGGTGTCATGGATTCTCAGGACATACTTGCCAGTTCTCAGCTTCCTGGTTTTGTCCCTGGGTCCCTTGATGGAACAGTGTGAAGCACTCCATCCACAGATGGAGTGTTCTGGATTAAAACGTGTTGCATTTCTTTGGTGAGCCGGATTGTGGCGAAGGTCACTGCAGGGGGCACCCTCCTGCTGGTGGGTGTGTGTGGGGTGGGAGCAGGTGGGGGGCGGGGGCGGTGGGTGCTGCTTTTGCTGTCGATGAGCTCAGTGTTGCTGCAGGCCTCTCCCCTGAATTTCCAGCGGAGGGGCATCCCTGGTCATGGAAGCAGCAGGACAGAGACCGTTCCCAGAGCACATAGCCTGGTGGGAATGTCCAACACTAATCCTGGGGAGAGGGCGTGGCTGAGCGTCTGCTGAGGAATCCCATGTTGGGGTTAAAAAAAAAAAAACAGAGTCAGTTGTCTTAATGGGGTCTTCCCTCGTGGTCTGCAGGGGCCACAGGTTTGCCCCCAGGCCAGGGAACTAAGATCCTTCACGCTGTGAGTTGGGACCAAAAAGGAAAAAAGATCATCTTGATGTCTATTAAATGTGCTTATCTATTTCCTGATTTGTGTTCCCTCTCATCCCTTAGCTGTTCTGAGATGGAAGGAGTTGAGGAGCCCCTCTGGACATGCTATTGTCATGGCCAGTGGTGGTGGAGCAGTCTCAGTGCTGCTGGGAGCTCACTGGCTTGGTGAGGACCCTGGACAGACAGACGCTGAGCCAGTGAGGAGGACTTTTAAACTGGAGAAAGGAGGAACTTGGAGCATAGACCCTTATCTGGGGGGGCCGCCTTCCCCTGCCCCCCCACCCAACCATAAGCCTTCCCCACCTTCTCGGGCAGAGCCACCTACACCCGACCACTCAGCAGGGACTCAGCCTCCAGGCAGTTCTGGTCCCCGTGCGGAGGGGCCTGAGCTGATGGGCTAAAATCGGGGCTTGCTGTGATGCTGGTGGGGTACTCACCCCTTCACCCCCTTCCTGCTCTGGCCAGAGGCGCACAGGGCTTCTCTCAAACGTGGCACTGCGATGCCTTTAGCCTCAGTTAACGAGGGGCTTTTGTACTCATTACATCATTAGAGTCTTGGGACCACCCTGGTAATTAGAGCCATCTCACAGACGGGGAAGCAGAGACCCAGCTTGGTCCAAGGTTCCCTGGGGCCAAGTGAGTAGGACGTGCTCAACTTCCAGCCCACCTGCCTCTGCTCTTCCCCGAGGGCAGTTCTGACTCTGCCGAGGCCTTCCCAGCAGCACTTGGGGAGTGTCTTTCGGACCGTGATTTGTCTTGGAGATGAGAGCCACCCAGATCATTGACTCTTCGGCAGCCGATGCTGTCAGCATGAAATTGATGACGGCATTGAGCTTGACCCGGAAATGCCGTGTTGCCTTTGGACGCGTCGCAAAACCGGGAGAGAAACAAGCCACTGGGCTGTGTCTACACTTCCCTTCCACTCTCCCCCATGCCTCCCTATATTTAGTAAACACTTGTTCAGCGTCTACCACGTTCCAGGCGTCTCACTGAGTGCTGGCCGAGCCGTGGGTCGCGATGCTCACAGATGCTGCGCGTGCTTGCTCAGCTTCTTCTAAGGTGAGTCTTTTGTTGTTGCAGCCAGAGTGGAAAGGAAAGGGTTCTGACTTCATGCCGTGGTGATGCTGTCCAGGCTGAACCATGGCATTTGGCCAGCTGTGATACTGCAGGGGTCCCGGGGGCACATCAGAGATTGCTGATGCTAAGATGTCCATGGTGGGCTCTGCCTGAGAGCTCCTGAGACCTTTCCACGCCAAGGCAGCAGGTTCCAGTAGCACCATGCCTGGGGACTCTTTGGGGGACACCCTTCTCTTATCACATCCCTGTGCCTCTGTTAGTTGCTTGATCATGTCTGACTCTTTGTGACCCCATGGACTGTAACCAGGCTCCTCTGTCTATGGACATTCTCCAGGCAAGAATACTGGCGTGGGTAGCCATGCCCTCCTCCAGGGGATCTTCCCAACCCAAGGGATCGAACCTGGGTCTCCCACCCTGCAGGCAGATTCTTTACTGTCTGAGCTGCGAGGGAAACTCTGGAGACAAATGGATTGCCGTGAAGTGGCTGAGAGGACCTCAAACTGGAGTCACAGTATCTGCAACCACACAGGCACCCCCTGCTCTGGTGCCCTTATAGCTACTCAACCGGGTGATGCCTCTGGGCATTAGGGCACTGATTGAACTCCTAAGCTGCCTGGTATGAGAGAATCCCCCTACCCCTATCCTGACCATATGGCCCTCTAGATATATACAGAGCAGCCAGAGCCAGCTCTAGGTGAGGATGAGGGAAGTCACTAATTCCTTTCTGATGTGTTTGCACAGAGGCCGTGAACCCTAGTGTCTGAGCCCTAGAAAGACACAGGACCAACCTAGTGCTGTCCCCAGGGCCTGTCCCCCAGGTCCTCTGTTCCCCAACGTCCCAAGGGTGCTTTCTGGCTCCAAAGGATCAGAAGAGACACGGACTGCTTCAGAAACTGGGGACCTAGTGCACAAAGAAATGGAAATATGGCACCAGGAAAGGCAAAGACATTGTAATTGATGGTTTATAAGATACATAGGCTTAGAACAGTTTTACAAGAATAATTACATTTTGAGGGGTTCATTTTTATTATCCAAATGATGATAATGATTTAAAAAATGATTTAGTAGGGAAAACACAGATTCCTCCTCCTGCCCCTGTATAAACACAGTGGACTCACATTGGGAGAAAGTAGGTCCTAGAAAGCTATTAGTAATATCCTAATCCTGAAAAAAAATGTAAGATCACATATAGTCCTCCTTCCATAACATGGGGCATTGAATTCAGGAAAACTTCAGATCCACACTTTTTTGGAAAGCATGCCATCTATGCTGATCCATGTGGTGATGGGAATGAAGGCTCCTGTAAGGGAAGGTGGCAACTCTGACTCCTTGATTCCTGGTTCTCCTTTCTTTGTTTAGCTACCAACTGGTCAATGTTTTGGTTGGACTCAAGGCCAGTCTCTGGACTGGGGAGGGATAGGGTGGTCATCCCCTCAGCTTGTTCACTCTTTGCTGGAATGTCCAGATCTACTGAGCAATGGGCTTCCTGAGCATCCTCAGTGACTAGGAGTCCTGAGAAGAAATCCATCCAGATTCCAACCCCAAGATGCCCTCATGGCTGCCCACTAAATTAGCAAGTATGATGGCCAGTGCTGCCCAGTTCTCACAAGCCAGGCCACTCCAGCCCGAGCCTGGCATCTGGGACCTCCAGTGCCTGGGGTCTCCTGGCTTCTGAACTTGCCTGCTGTGCACCACCCTCAGCCCAGAACCAGTGGTATCATGGGCAAACAAAACTGGGTCACGCTATTCTGCCCCAAACCTCCAATGACTCCCATTACATCCAGAAGAAAACTAATACCCCCCACTGTGGCCCGGAAGGTTCTCCAGGCTGGTGCCACCCATCTTTCCCTCGATGTCTCGGACCCCCTCTTCTGCCATCTCACCTTTGATTTCTCTCCTGCAGTTACACTAGCTTCTTCCTTTTTTTTTTTTTTTTAAATTTATTTATCTGTGTCGGGTCTTAGTTGCATCACACAAGATCTTTCGTTGTTGCTGCACATGGACCCTTTAGTTGTTGACCTCTTCAGGTGCTATGCATGGCCTTAGATGCTCTCTGCAGCATGTGGGATCTTAGTTCCCCGACCAAGGGGGATCGAACCTGCATCCCTGTATTGCAAGGCAGATACTTAACCACTGGACCGCCAGGGAAGTCTCCATACAAGCCTTCTTGCACCTTCAACCTTGCACTGTTCCCTCTGCCAGGAATGCTTGCTACTCACTTCATTCCGCTCCTGCTGAGAGCATCTTTCCTGAGCCCTTCCCTAAGATAGCTCCTGTCCCCAGCCTTCTTTGTCTGATATCTGCTCAGCACATATCAGAATCTCACCCCAGCAGCTTCCTTCCTTCGTTGTCTCCCTGACCCTGGAAGCCCTTAAAGGTTCATGCTTGGCAGCTTTTAGAATGTGCCTTGCGCCGAGTCTGTTTTCTGAGAAAATTTGATGAATAAGTGAATGAACAGCCAAATGCACTGCTGGTAAGGAATGTAAATCAGTACCTTTCTAGAAAACCCCTAAAAACTGTTTTTCTCATTAACAATTGATAAGAAATCATTAAATGGAGAAAATACCAATCAGCAAAAATATTAAAAATTACTTATATATGAAATTAACTATTAAATACATTCACTTTGTAAATTACTATATAAAATGTGTTGACAATGTACTGACTTTGGATTCTAATGTGTATCAACAAAGTATAAATAAAATAGTGTTGAAATACAGAAACATGAACTGTATAAGAAAGTATTGCTTTTCACTGCTAATTCCAAACTAGCAGATGCAAACTAGTGCATATAGGATGGATAAACAACAAGGTTGCACTGTTTAGCACAGGAAACTATATTCAATATCCTTTGATAAACCATAATGGAAAAGAATATGGAGGAGAATATATGTATATATATATGTATTTTCTATACAGCGGACATTAGCACAAGTTTGTAAATCAACTATACTTCAATAAAATAGAAAAAAGTTTTGGTAACTACATATGGAGTTTCCCTGTTTACCTGTATTGATTATCTGCACAGACTCAGTACCATCGATCCAAAAAACAAATTGCCATAATTTTTTTGGAGGTACACCCCTATAGTTTTTTTGCATGTGTGTAGAGAGCAGTTACATTGTTTGTGATTTGCTTTTTATTACTTAGTAGTATGTTATGAACATCCCTAAAAGTTATTAGGGACATTTCTATAACATCATTTTTAAGGACTCTATTGTATGGAGAATATATATAATTTTCTACTCTTCTATTGTTGGGCATTTGGTTTGTTTCCAATAACAATGAACAACTTACAGCTAAATCCTTATACACATCCATAATTGATTCCTTTGGAAGTAGAATCTTTGGCTCATGCATTTTTAAGGAATTTGATAGTATTACCAAATTACCCTTCATAAAGGTCACCTAATTTATCCTATCATCACTGGTGTTGAAACGATTCATTTTGCCCCCTCCATAAGCACCATATAGTATCATTGCTTTTATCTTTACCAATATAGAAGCAAAAATAATCTCTTATTTTTGTTTCAATTTGTGATGTCTTTGATTACTAATAAGGTTGAGCAGCTTTTATGTGTTTTTCTGTCCTTTGTATGTATTCGTTTGTGAATTGCCATTCATGTCCTCAATACATTATTTTTCTGTTGAAATATTTGTCTTTGTTATTCATTTATAAGAAAGCTTTCTACTTTGGGGGCATTAACCTTCTCTCTGCTATATATGTTAAAAATGTTTTTTTCCTGTTTTTGGTTTACCTTGAAATTTCAAAATTGCATTTTTCACTTATGAATATTTCAGATTTGCAGAACTAAAATCTAGCTATATATATTTTTTTCTTTCTACTTTCTGCCTTGGGAATTGGTCTTAGAAAAGGCTTCCCTGTTACAATTTACATAAATGGTACTTTTGTAGTTTCACTTAAAAATTAAGATCTTAAATTCATATACAGTTTATTTTGATATATGACATGAAGTAGGGTGCTAGCTTTACTTATTTTTTGAACAAGTGACAGAATGTACCCATAACTTTATCAATTATCCATCCTTCCCTCACTGATATAAATGCCTCCATAAACGTATGCATATTTGCTGTTTTAATCGTTGGTGGGACTTCCCTGATGGTCCAGTGGTTAAGAATCTGCCTTCTAATCCAGGGGATGAAGGTTTGATCCCTGGTTGGAGAACTAAGATCCCACAGGCCCGGGAGAAACTAAGCCCCTGCACCGCAAACTGCAGAGCTCACATGCTCCAGAGCTCTTGTGCCGCAACCAGAGAGAAGCCTGCATGCTCAGTGAAGAGCCAGTATGCCCCAACCAAGATCTGACACAGCCAAAAAAAAAATCTTTTTTAAATAGTTGCTTTCTGCAATATATTTTAATAACTGGCTGAGCAACTTTCTTCTAATTTCTCTCTCTTTTCCCTTTTTTTCTTTAAAAAATGTTTCCTGGAAATTTTTTATTTATTCATACTTTTGGATGAAATTGGCAATCAATGTGACAAAATCTCAAAAATCTTTTGATGGAAGTTGGATTGGGCTTGCATTCAATTGAAAGATTAGATATGGGAAGACTGACATGTTGACAGTCCAGAGCCTTTCTGTCCAGGAGCTAGTGGTTCACCTTTCATTATTCACTTGAGCACTGTTTTATTCACCCATCATTTTCTTTTTTTTCCATTTATTTTTATTAGTTGGAGGCTAATTACTTTACAACATTGCAGTGGTTTTTGTCATACATTGAAATGAATTAGCCATGGATTTACATGAATTCCCCATCCCGGTCCCCCCTCCCACCTCCCTCTCCACCCGATCCCTCTGGGTCTTCCCAGTTCTTCCCATAGGTATTGTGCATCTAGAAAATAATGTCATTAAGAACCTTGAAAAACTAATTCCCTTAGTAATTCCACCCTTATTGATCAGTCTTAACAATGTGAACAAAGGTCTATACATAAAGATTTCAGTCACAGTATTATTTACAATGAGTTCAACATCAGAGATACTTTAAATGGACAATAATTGGAAGGTGATTAAATAACTTTTAATTCAGTCACAAGTCGAAATATTATGCAGCCCTTAAAAAGATACCCCATATTTATGGAAATTACTTTAGTGGAAGTGTTAGTTAGGAAATCAGGGT